CAAATAAAACATAATAAAATAAGTGAGATGGTTTATTCCATGGAAATAATAAAATAATAAAAATAAAACATAATAAAATAAGTGAGATGGTTTATTACATTGTAGGACCGTTGGAAACGGCGGTGGCGTGCTGAGGTGCCTTGATCGTTGCTGTGTGAATGGCGTAATTCCTGTGCAATAATAGCAATCTAGCCTGGTGGTGGTTGCAGTTCAAGTGCATGACTTAATATCTATCAGAAGCTTGTGAGTTCATATCCCGGTTGTGAGTCAGCTCGGCACAATATTCGCACTTTAGGTGGAAGTAAAGTAGAGGTTGTGCTATGGATGGACTGATCTCTTCCATAAAAATGTGGAATTATCTCCACTGGCTCAGAAATGCGGACATAGGTTAGCACTGCACCCGTGCTTGATTGAGACTGAAGACTCAGAATTTACTTTAAGTTAATAATGCATTTTAAAATGCAATCCCCTGACAGCACTGGTAGAAATTTTGGGCAATTTTAATTAACAGATATTAAGGACAAAATAAATTTCAAAAAATAAATACGTACAACAGGATGATAATGGCCCATCCGTGACGATTCGGTGATTTATTTATATTTAGGGGGTTGCGATCCGTTTCAAGAATCTAATCTTTATTTGAACAATTTATTTCATGATAGCGCATTGGCAGTGGTGCAGAAGCACACATGACATGTTCGTCAATGACATTGCCCTAAAATATATAATGGGTGTATAATAGACGACGTTTCGGGCAACGGCCCTCTTCACAGCACATCACAGCACGCAACTTCTCTGGCCCCTCTGCTGTGAAGAAGGGCCATTGCCCAAAACGTTGCCTATTGCATATATTTTTAAGGGCACAATGTTATTGATGAATTTTTTTTTACTGTTGTTTGTTTTACCACCTCGTTCTCACCGTCTCCTTTGCGGCGTTTTTATTCTGCCTCGGTTTGTACAGTTGTGTAACGTCAGCATACTGTTTGGTCGGTCCAAAACACATTGCATCTAACTGTGTAGGTATCATGAGCTATGAGAAGGAACTCTTGAGCTGCAAGGACTGTATCAATATGAATGAACGAACGAATGGATCTATCGTTACATCGCCTCTAAAATGCAGAGCATTTTCACCAACCTGTAGCGACCAGCGTGGTGCGGTATGGTCAAACAATCTCAACAACCGACTCGGCGTGATGAGGCCATAATCCAGTCATTGATTGACATCGTGTGCAGCGCGTTTGCAGTGCGTACATTTAATTATTTAATTGAAGAGAATAGACCCATTTGATTCTGTAAATTTGCTTTAAGTGATTCACGAGTTGTCAACAGCCGTTGTGTAAGTGAACTAACTGGTTCAGTTTGTTTTTATGCCACTGCCATGTAAAGGGCTTTCTTGGTTAACCATGCTGCCAACACCGCTGTAAAGGTGACTAGGTCGACAGCATTCAAGGCCATGGTGTCGACGGTGTCACACCAGGAGATGGGTGGGATGGGCAGGATGGTTGATACTCTTAGGATGCCCGACTCGATGTTGTGGTCCTGAACCAGTGATGGATATTCCACATTGTTCTGGCAAGGGCAGGTGCGTCCTCACCTAATACAGCAATCACTGGAATTATCTGCACCGAGTGGTGATTGTTTACCGATCTGGGAGGCCTGATGATGATATTGCCAATGCTGGTGATGATGTTGATGATGGCAACAGTGCGTCTGATATGATGATGATGATGCTGCTGCATGTAGTAGTGTTGATGATCTATGTGACGACATTGCTACTGATGATGCAGGAGATATTGATGACAGCCATGCTGCTGCTAGAGGTGCTGGGGATAGTGATCATGGCTACAACAATGCAGATATGATGACACTTGTGTTAATGCTCACAATGCTGGTAGTCATGGTGACAGTGCTGACCATGCTGGTCGAGATGATGAAGATGGTGATAATGTTGACCATGCTCGAATTAAGGAGAAGGATGATGCTTGTGGCAGTGCTGTTGATGCATTAATCATGATAATGACAACTACAATGCAGCTAATGATTCTGAAGATATTTGCGATTAAGATGATAGTGATGATGCTGTTGGTGGTCGTCAGTGACCCCGACTGGAATGTAAACTCGTGACCTCGTCACTGTGAGCTCTGTTCCATACCGCACGCGTTGCCACTGATGTGGCGTGTACACAGCACAGTGTGTCTTCAAAATACCGGGCTCATTCGGGAGCGGGGTGCACCATTATATACATCTATCTACTTAAAACCCCACCGTTTCCATGAAGGCCAAAGTGTGTGCATTTACACCTTCGAGTGATATCTAAATAGCATTTTTTTTTAAATATCTCTACAATATTTTACAAAATGTGTAGACCAGTGTAAAAGAAAGGTCAAAATAAAACCACCAACCAAAAATAGTCGTCCAATTTTTGATGAGACAATGCAATTGCCAGAGTTTGGCTGCCGTTGGGTAAAGTCGGAAGCTGGGACTGCCCAGCCAATGACCTTTCTGTGCGCCGTGAGGACTTGCCGATCAACAAGTTGGCTGCCTTTGGATGTTTGAGCTTTGTGAGCTATGTGAGTGCAATGTTCAGTTTGTTTTCATTCGTGTTAAATTGTTATGGGTTGCCCAAAGAAGTCCCCTGACATATGAGATACGTATATCCGCCCGCATTATTTCAAGAACTGTACGTTCATCAGCCATTGCCTCTCCACTGCTGGATGAAGGCCACCCCAAGCTATCGCCGTCGCTCACAGTCCAGTGCTGCTACCGGCCATCTCGCTGCTGCACACGGACTGATCTCATCGCTCCGTCTCCACGGTGGTCACCCCTCTCAGCCAACGCTCTTTCTTTCTCCTTTGGCTGTCGTTCCATCAGCAAGCCTCACCCATTGGCCATCGACCCTTCTCGCGATGTTTCCTGCCCAAGCCCACTTAGACAAATGCACGTCCTTTTTTTGTTTTTATTTTTTTTGTTTAGTTATTTAACATTCATCCAGGAAGGGCACTCTTGAAGATCTAGTTTACAAGATATCTCGGCACGGCATTGCGGTCATACGTAATTACACTTGTATGTATGTTGAACTTCTTTGGAACCATACGTAGCCAATAATGCTAATCAGGGGTGCGGAATGCATGAATGTGTTAATGATACATGATTATGCGAACCTGCCCAGGACCGGTTCATGTAATCGTCACCTTTAACATCTGCCTATTTGTTATTGTGAAGTAACGTCCGGTAGAACCATCGTTTTGCGCAAACCCACACCAGGCTTTCTTGTACACTCCCAAGGCGAAGACGTCGTTGTGAGGTCCACATCTGCGTCTCACTGCTGCACGGGTTCCAATCTCATCGCTCCGTCTACGCGCACGCGGTCATTATTCTCTCTTGTGCGTGTTTTTGTTGCTGCTTCTTTTTTTTGCTGTCACGCGACCACCGCCGTCTCCCCCCTGCAAGCTGCGCGTTCACCGGGCGTGAACTCTGCACCACCGTGTTCTCATCGGGGGTGGGCCGGGGGGGAGAAGAAACAGGCGACACTCACGTTCAGCTTGTTTTTCTTTTGCCTGGAGGTGTGGCGGATATAGAAAGGGGGTGGGTACGCTCAGGTGTTTTCGCTCAGGCGCAGTTATTGCTCCTTGTGCGCGCGTGCGTGTGTACGTGTATTCGTGGGGAGCGGTAGTGCAGTGGTTAGTGCACCGCGCTACAAACCCGGCGAGTTCGAGTCCCGCTCATGGCACAACACCAGTGACGATTATTCTAATCGGTCCTGGGCCTCCCTGAGGTCGACTCGGCCTTAATAGTGTACCTGGTGCGGTGTGTAAATATCGTCACTGGGCAGTTTTTGTCTTTGCACGTGTATTACGGAAGGTGTATTTTTTTCAAGGTTGTGCCAAGTCGGCACATTTCTTTCTGTTTGCGTGTGCGTTTGGGTGTACGTGTTTTTGAGTGTGTGAATGTGGAATTATAATAATAATGGTATTTGACAGCCCTTTATCAACCCACTGCTGGTGTTTATCAGCATCTTTATTTATCCTGGTGGAACTGGATGAGCTATGAAGCTCCTTTTTACAGATGTCCTCGTTTAAAGCGGAATTGACCGAGAGGAGGATCCCCATGACCAGTTCAGATATCACTAGCCCCTTTTGTTAGCCGTGATCGTGGCGACAGGTAAGGCCGCATACGGCGCCTTGGTATGGCACAACGCATACACAGTAATAGACTCATGCATTGGTAGCGTATCAATAACCAATGTGGACATCATCCTTATGCTCCGATGCAAAGACAAAGATCCCCTTTATAGCCTTAACAGACTGTTGGGGAAAATGCTGTTAGCGAGCACCTATGAAGGCCGGCACAGCACACGTGGGGTTTGGTGGCCAACACCACGTCCGACCGCCTTTGTCTCCCTAGTGGTGATGTTTACACATCGCACCAGGTACTCGTTTGATGCTGAGTCGACCTAGGGGAGGCCCAGGACCGGTTCATATAATCGTCACTAGTTTTGGCCGTGGCCAGGAATCGAACTCTCGTCACTGAATTCGGACTGCATTGTGCAAACCCACTGCGCCAATACTTCGTGTATGTCCTATGCGTCTTAAAATTATATAATTGCACTTGTGTGTGTGAAAATCAAGTCAATTCATGTCCCTTAAAATGTAATCAGCGCGGCAGTGTCATTTTGATTTGTGTGCCACATCATAATATAATTGTATAGGTGTTTGCCTGAGGCTGTTGCAATGTCATTACTTATGCCATTGTGCTTTGCTTAATAGGTGCTCTGTAACAGTACCTCCCCTGAAAGCCCCTTAGCCAGAATAAAACAAAATGCCATGTGTTTGTTGTGCGGTGATGACCAAACCAGCCCCTCTTGTGCCACGCTCTCGCCTAAAGCTTGTCGGTTCTTGCTCCAAAAGTATTTGAGGGGGATTTGTGTGTTTGTCTCATGAGTTAGTGTGTATATGTGTGTGTGCTTTGGCGCATATGTGTGTGTGTGTGCAAATGTTTGCACACTATAAAGCACCTACGTGCATTTTGAGTGCGAGCTCAGGTCAGCAGTGTTTTTGTGATTGTGAGAGGGTGTGTCAGTCACGTGGTTATCTGTAGGGGGTTTTCGGTCACTTTATATTGAAGGCACATGCCAAGAAATGTTTCAGCTCTCTGGTCTCTTGACATTTGCCCCAGGAGAGAGCCCAGTCGACATTCACGCGCAACTTAGGGCGGCGGGGGCTCTCATCTTGCGCTTCTCGTTATCCCTCTCTTGCACAGCGCCATCGTTTCAGGAGACTCTGTCAACAGTAACTTGCGGGATCTTTTTTTTACATTTTCTTTTCGACGTCGTCGTACTTAGGGGAGAAGTCTTTCGCTGAGGGCCCCCTCAAAGCTTGCGGGGATCGTCTCGTTCATGCACTTGCGTACGCAAGTCATGCCCTCCTACAGGGTGGCCAGGATGTACACTTACAGGGTGTTTTGTTTCGTCAACTCCACAGTGAAGGTACGGGGATTCTTTATTATTACACGCTTTTTATTAACTCACTTTGTCTGTTGTATCCTCAAATCTTGTAACTCAATTTTTACCCACTTCCCAATGTGGTATCGACTGCAAACTTGGTATATTTATGTCATACCGATGACAATACAATATTTTATGACGAAAAAAAAAAACGTATCTTTTTAAACATTCTTTTTATATGTTATGTTTCGGCTTGGCTCAAATTGTCCACGCTCAACTTACGTTGGCTGTAAATCACCATGGCCCCTTACGTTATGGCAAGCTTCGGGGCCACTTGTTGGAGTCGTGGAGTTCTTCCATTGCTAGTTGGGTACATTTCATTAAAGCGTGTTTAAAAAAGTTTTCTTAAATATTACTTATTTGTTTGCGCAAAAGGGTTTCGCGATGGCGGTATGTTTGGTGTTGAGACCCACCGGGCGGCAGGCGCGGCAAATCCCTTTCGGTTTGGCGCGACGGAAATTTGTGTTGCGTTTGAGTTTTTGCATCGTGTGCCCATGTTCGAAACTACAAATAAAATGTCGGTTCAATCGGTTGTCATTATTTGCAGCCTTTTTTATTGCAAGAAGGCTCCCCCCCCATGCTGTGTCGATCGTGGGGAGTTGTTTGGGCATACTTCACCACGCTGGTCAGTGTGTGTTGGTGAAGCGGGGAGGGTGTTGTGGAGGGGGGGGGTAGGACCTGTTCAGCTATCACTCGCCACTGTTTTTTAGCTGTGGCCGGGAATTTAACTGAATTGGCCAGGGTTCATAGCACAGCAGTGCACTAACCACTCTGCTGCTTCAGGCTGCGACCTGAGGTGGTTTTCTCAGGACATTCAAAACCCTTTTTTTGAGGCAGCTGCTGTCCTTGGACATCTGTTAGTCTTCCCAGGAAATCAAGGTACTGGCTTTTGCCAGTCGTGTAGTCAATAATAATAATGCACCACTCAAGACCACGTGTTGACACGTATCTCTCCGCTCTGCTGTTATTCTCAGATATTCTAGTTCACACAAATGCGTCCGGGTTTTTTGTATTTCATAGGCGGTAACTTTAGCGCCACGACTCCCCCTACCCGGATTCGTTGTACTGTACCTTATTGGTGTTAACACGTGCATGAAGAGTTACTGATGTTAATTCTATGTCGATTTTAGTGTACGGATGCCGTGGCACTGGCACATGAACGTGCTGTTATTTGCGGGATTGTGTGTGTGATTTTGTTGTGTGTTTCCACTTGTGTATGCTTTCACTTTGTAAGTAGGTCAAAAGCCTTCCACCACATCAAATATCCGAGCCACGTCCAACATTGGTGGCGAATATCCGAACCAGTCTAGGACCCTTAGGGTGACTCAGCCTAAAATGAATACCTGGTGTGGTGTGTAAACATCAGCACTCGGGAGACAAAGGCGGCCGGGTGTGGTGTCAGCCACACCACCTCCTTGCGTGTTGTGCCGGCCTTTATCAGTGATATTCGCTAACAGCACTTGCCCTAATGGCCTATTAAAGGCGATAACGGGGGATTTTGCAGTGGTGCTGTAATGTTTAATGCACTACACTTTGACCCCGACTTCATGGCTATGTTACAAATCATCACTATCAGTTAATGAGGTACTAGAATTAATTGCGGGCTACCGCGAGGTTGACTCAACTTCACGTGCGTACCCAATATGATTCGTGTGCATCTTCACAGGGAATGCAAAGGTGGCCTGGATAGGTGGTGCTGATCTCTCGAGCCCTTCGTGCGCCATGCCAGCCTTTGCAAGCGCTTGCTGACTTTATGGTCATTGTCTCCTCTTGTGGCACTGTGTAGATAATGGAGCGACCGGAGGAGAAAGAAGTTCTATTACCACCATCTCTGACACCTGACAAAGTTGCAGAGGTAGACACACACATCCGCACTTATGAATGCCAGCACAGCACACGAGGGGTCGGGTGGCTAGCACCACGCCTAGTGGCGATGTTTACACACCGCATCAGGACTTCATTTGAGGCTGAGTCAACCTAGGGGAGGCCCAGGACCGGTTCATAAAATCGTCACTGGCGTTGGCCATGAGCAGGAATCGAAATCGGGTCCCCGGGTTTATAGAGCAGCATGCTAACCACTGCACTACCACTTCATATACACAGTCGCATGAACAGTCACCAATCGCCATTCGGTAGCGGTGACATGACTAAGGGTCACTTTGAGGTTGTCACTTGAAGTGCGGAAGGCTCGCCGTCACGGGACAGACTGAGGTGCCATGGGTTGGCTAACTGAGATGACTGGCAGATGCCCCCCTTTGTGGTGCCCACTGTGCCAACTCCCTGCATCTTAGTTGCCTGGCGCTGCGCTCATTGTTGTGAGCGTCGCTCCTCTTCCCTCCGTTGTTGCCCATGTGTTTCTCCATTAATATTTACAAATGCATGTAGAGTAACATAATGTTCATGTAATAAGTGACCCTCTCCCCACAGCCCAGAGGTTTGATGAAATGTCACGACGTGGGGTCGTGATTTGATTCAAGGATCGATTCTTTGTTGCCTCGATTTTTATGTCGTAATTTATTATTTCTCGTTTGTACAGTTTTGTTGGCCCCATTAGCCTAAATGTAACATTAGTTGTATATGCATATACGAATCAGAATATTTATACTGGAGGAATCCAATGAGCTCTTTTTCACAGATGTCCAGTAGGAGCGAGTAAGAACGTTACAACAACAAACAATACAAAAACATGATAAATTGGCATGAATTGTACATAATTTATTCACACAGGCACAATTCTATGCATGTTTCGTGAGTGAGATAATAAAATGTAATTGATTAATAGATGCATCCATACCTACCTAGTATACGTGTATGCACACACAGTCACATGCACCAATACATTAACACTAGTAAAGACAAACATGACCTTTATAAACTTGATTTGAAGCTTTCGTGACTGCAGGCATTACTCTTTGGTTCTTTCGGTAAAGTCACATAGAAAGAAAAGAAATTAAATAATAGAATGCGACGTTTTGATTGCAACACAAGCAATCGTCATCAGGTAGACAACAAACCTAGTAAACTTAGAAATATAATGCAATACAACACAGAGAGTCGGCTAACACAACAGTCAACACCCTACCTGGTTGATTACGTTCTTCCAAAGATTGCCAAAGAGTATGACCTTTATAGTCTGCATAAATATTTATGGAAAGTGCTGTTAGTGAGAACCTATTAATGCCAGAATGGTTTACTTGAGTGTGGTGTGACCAGCATTATTTGAGGTTGGTTAACCTAAACATGAAATAGCAAAATAAAAGAATGCCTCCATCACATAGTTGTCTCTCCACATGAAAAAATATTTTGACAAATCCCATTTGCCGTACGGCCTTCTGGGAGTGTATCCTATAAACAGCATTGGTTGCTGACTCGCAAACTCTGGACCGATTTTAAACATTCACCGTATCATCAGCAGTCAGGCTTGCTTGAACCAATGCTCGTGAACTGCCCAACGTTTTGGTTTTATGATCACCTGATGTTAGCCGTGGCTGGGAATAGAACCCAGGTCGTCAGGTTCGTAGCAGAGTGCACTAACCACTGCACCACTGCCCCCCCACATTAACATGCACACGCGTACGTGGCCACACACTGATTCACATACGTGTTGCCTGGTAACCCCACTTTGTATTATCCCCACTGTTCCGTGTTGCCTCCACTTCCCGTGTTACCTCCAACGTGTCCCATCTGCCCAGGTGGCGCTGTGGTTAGAGTACTCAACCCGAAGTCATAAAGTCACAAGTTCAAATTTCAATTGAGGGTACACTTCATGAACCCAGTATTAATAGCCCATCTATTAGATCAGAAAATCAGAATCAGAATCAGAATCTTCATGAACCCAGTATCAATATCCCATCTATTAGATCAAGTATAACTTTACCATAGTAATGTAGAATTTCCACCACTGGCCATCCGAAAGTCGCCATCCGCTCGCCACCCGTTTGAGCGGGAGGCTCTGTAAATTTTAACCGTACCTGTCTCTGCATTACATCTGTTAAACAGAACAGAGTGAGGTGTCCATAATAGAGTTTTTTTGGGTTAGATCACGTAAATATAAATATTTCTTTAAACCCGCCACCACAGGACACAGCCAATTAGTAAGGTTTTTCACCTACACAAAACATGCCAATCAGTTACTTGTTCAGCACACCGGTGTGTTGGAGAGTAAACCCACAACATTTACAATTCGAGTACGATGCTTCGCTGGTAATTACAAGCCTCATTAGGCGACAACTAGAATTATGGAGAAATCCTCCTTTTTCGGTCTTAAGTACAGGGGTAAATATGATGTCGTCACTGTGAACCAATCAAGTGCGAAGACCAGAGAGGGGTCATATCAATTACAATGGATATCTCTGATTTGAGTGAAGTGGCCGCATGGTTCAGGGTGAAGAGATCCTGAACTGCCACCACCACTTGGTTCATATCAAGAGTTTTAGCCACCTGTGGTTAAACTGGATTCTCAAATTTAGCGAGCTGATGGTCTCAGCCTGGTCATCTATACCCACAGCCATGACCCTCATTACCTCCATGTCCCCCATAACCACTGTGACCCATTCATTACCCACGACTCCCATCACCCCCGCTAACCATTACCCATTACCTCTCTGACCATTGTTACCCATTACACATTAGCCCCGTGACCCCCGTGGCCACCGTTACCCATTACCCCCCATGTCCCCTGTTACCCCGTGACCCCATAACCTGCATCAGGGCTCGGTCCGGGTGACCCTGCAGGAGACAGTAGAGCTGGAGCACGGATCAGGGCTGTGGGGCGGCCATGCCTTCACCTACCTGTGCCTGTGGTACGGGCTCAGCTTCTGCACGCTGGTGCTCAACAAGTACATCCTCTCGCTGCTGGGCGGCGAGCCCGCCACGCTGGGTACGTACAGACACACGCACGCACCGCATGCGGACATGGGCGAGGATGCACTGTGTTTGTGCGCGAGTGGCTGGATAGGGGGGGGGCTAAACGATCGCGGTACGTGCTGGAGAAGAGATTGGCTGCTGCGGTAACAGAAGGATGTAGGACTGAGTGGACTTGCTGTTGACTGGTACCAGCAGTGTTCAGATTGGCCTCTGTGGAGGAGGCTCGTGAAGGACGCTCCTGGGAAGTTGGAAGCAGTCGCCCTCCAACAACAGTGGGGGGCAGAGGAGCGATGCTCACAATGATGAGCGCAGTGCTGGAGTGACTAAAACGCAGAAAGTTGGCATATTGGGGAGGACAGGTGGTGCATCTGCCAGTCATCTCAGTCAACCCATGACACCTGTAACCTTCTGCGAGTGAGCCATCGACACTTCAAGCCTCATCATGCACCTCGGCTAGCACAAGCGCCGTGGAGACGTCACCGCTACTGAGTAGCGAACAGCGGCTGTTGTTGGAGGTGGGGGCATTTGTGGCGGTGCAGTGGTTGGCGCGCTATGCGACTCACCCAGTTCCCTCAGTTTGACTCCTGGCCATGCCTACCATCAATGGCGAGAGATCTGAACCAGTTCTGGTCGATTAAGCCTTAAATAAATCCTCGGTGCAGTGTGCTAACATCAGCATTGGGGAGACAAAGGGGCCAGGCGTGGTGATGGCCACACCACCCCGTCGTGTGACGTTGCAGGGGGGTCGAGGTCGCATTCCCAATGTAGACACAACCAGGTCGTCTTCCCCACTCGTGCGTCTCGAGTGCTGACTTGAATAGGCGCTCGCTAACAACACTTGCCTCAAGATTATGTCTCGGCTCAAAAGGGAATTTTGTCCGAAATTTTCATGTGTGTCTTTTTGTGTGTGTAGAATGGTTGTGCAGAAGTTATTGTGCTGAATTACGAATCCAGTGACCTGAGTTCGATTCCCGCTCACGGTCAACACTGTTGACGATTATCAGAACTGGTCCTGAGCCTCCCCTAGGTCGACTTTGCCTCAAATGAGTACCTGGGGCAGTGTGTAGATATTACTACTCGGGAGACAAAGGCGGCCAGGTGTAGTGCTGGCCATCCACCACATTGTGTGCCGTGCCGGCCTTCATAGGTGCTCGCAAACAGCACTCGCCCCAACAGTCTGCTAAATGCTATACGGGGATCTTGGTCTTTGTAGGAGTAGTGCTGACATGTACTGTGTGTATCATACTTCTGTGGGTGTGTGTAGGAGCGGTGCAGATGGTCTCCACGTCGGTCATCGGCTTGATACAGATGTGCCTCCGGAAGTCTTCCCACAAGGACTTCCCCCCCAACTTCGTCTCCGCCATGACGCTCATGGGCGGCATGAGGTGCAGCTCGTCGTGGGGCAGTGCGTTCGGTCTCAGAATTTAGAATCTTTATTTAGACTGAAGGAGGAATCCGATGAAACCAAATTTTTTAAAATGTATCACCAGGTAAGGTCCACTCGGCTATATAGCTCTGTTTCAGAAGCGACCTGGCCACAAATGATAACTCACGGAGGTGGCTTCTCGTGTGTAAATGTATAACAGCCAAATGCTCTAAACGCGTGATGTTGATTCTAAATGTGGAGGGAAAAACCGGAGGACCCGGAGAAAAATTTTACGCGACCACGGGGAGAACATGGAAACTCCAAATATATAGACGTCAGGGTCGGGATCGTACCCACTACCTCCTGCATACCACCTGCATACCAGGCGAGGTAGTTAACATCTTGACGACGTGAATCTTTTTTTCACATATGTACAGTCGGGGCAGGTCAGCAGGTTACAACAACAAACAATGAACAATCCCAAAAAAAAATCGATAGAAGTGCAAAATAGAGAAAAGCTAAGCAAGTCACGAAAAATAATAAACACAAAGTATTAAAGTACAAATTACATAAGTACATACATTCCTGCTGATTTTTCAACACTCAATGCAAGCTTGGGCCAGGCAGCAAAACAACAACAAAAACAGTCCCATACCACACCAAGACAACACACAAAGTTAAATGTGGGTGCAGTAATATTCCCTTATCGTTCCAGTCATCAAAGGCAGTGCTGGTGATGATGATGATCATTGTGACTATTGTTTTGTTGTTGTTGTTGCAGTGTTGCTGGTCAGTTTGTTGTGGTCATTGGGGCTGTAGTTGTGCCACGGTTGTCCTGGTTCTCAAAAGTAGTGGTGATGGTGATGACGATCACTGTGGCTGTTGTTGTGAGTGTATTGTGGTTGTTGCTTGTTGTTGTGGTTGTGAGTAAGTGCGTTGTTGTGGTTGTAGGTGTGCCACGGTGGTGCTGGGCCTTGTTTGCCTCAAGAACGTGGCGGTGTCGTTCGCTGAGACGGTGAAAAGTTCCGCACCGATCTTCACCGTTCTCATGTCACGCTTCATCCTTGGAGAGCACACCGGTACACACCCTGGATACCCGGACACGCCCTGCACACCCATACACACCCTGCATACCATGCACACCATGCACACGAGTACACACCCTTCGCTCACTGCACATATGTTTTGTGCAGTAAGCAGTAACCAGGATGAGTCCATTAATTACTCAGCACGGCATGGCCATAAATGTTTACTGATCCCACATGCCTCTGGGAGCCACATATATGGAGAGGGCTTTAACCTTTACACTACGGAGGGAACAATAATTCTAAGGGGATGATCATTCAGACCTGTAACTGAAGAGAAACCCAACGCAACAGAAACATGAACACAAAGATGTGCAGTTAAATCTCCATGGTTTAACCACAGGGGGCGGTTGACAACTGGATCCTCACCCCTAAGTGGCGGTGAGGTCACCATGCCGCCTGTGCCAGGCCAGGTGCATTTCGAGGCTACGTGAAAACATTACCAAAAGCGAAACGCGGCCGGGAATGGTGCTGACCACCCAACACCTGGTGTGCCGTGCTGGTAAGTTCTCGCTAACGGCACTTGCTCCTACAGTCTGTTAAGTCTATACGGGTGATCTTTGTGCGTGCAGGTTGGCGTGTGTCCGCGTCGCTCATGCCCGTCATGCTGGGCCTGTCCATGTGCACAGCCACTGAGGTCGGATTCAGCTCGCTGGGTTTCAGTGCTGCCCTCTCCACCAACATCGTTGACTGGTAAACCTCTCTCTCCTGCCTCGCTCTCCTCCCTCTCTTGCTCCTGCCTCTCTCTCTTCATACACCTCTCCCACCTCACACACCTCTCTCCCACTTTCCACACCTATCACCCACCTCTCACATCTCTCACACCACCTACACTTCGTCAATGCCACCGGCTCCCGGGGGTGCAGTGGCGAAATGTGGTGGGCACGAGCCCCGGTGCAAGTGCAGTGACATCGGGGATGTCACTGTATGGTGCCGGCCCGGAAGGGCCATGGCGTGCGATGCACCGTCATCGCGTACACCCCGTAGGTGGGTGTAGTACCAGCCCTAGTAGGGCTTGGTGAGCGCTGGGATAGCGCATGCAAGACGCATTAGCGTGCAGGTGTAGCGCTGGCCATCCACTACACCTGGCCGCTTTTTGACATTGAGTTAGTGTGTGTGTGTATAGTGGGAATGGGAGAGTTGCTAACGGTGTTTCACATGTGCGTCTGTGTGCAGTTTACAGAACGTGTTCTCCAAGAAGCTTCTGAGTGGTGACAAATATCGATTTACGTGAGTAGCACACATGCTCAAACCCACACCATTCACACGAGTATGCACATGCACGCACATATTCACAACAACCACCATTCACTTGTGCCAGGCTAGGTGTACTTTGAGCTCACGTTAAGTGTCGAAGGCTAACTGGCAAGAGGTCACGGCACAGACCCAGTTGCCAAGGGTTGACTGACATGACTGACGGACGTCCACTTCACTGCTAACTTTCTGCTTATTAGCCGTCCGGCGCTCTGCTTGTTGTTGTGAGCATCGCCGCTCCACTCTTGTTGGAGGGCGACTGCCTCCGACTGCACAGTAATGTACTTCACGAGCCTCCTCCATGAGGCAGATCTTGACACTGCTGGTACCAGTCTTCGGCAAGTCCACTCGGCTCCACATTCTCCTGTACCACATCAGCCCATCTGTTCTCTAGCCAGTGCCATACATCGTTTAGCCCCCTCTATCCGGCCCAACAGAAACCGCTTGGGAAAGAGGTGGCTGGGCATTCAGGTTACATGACCCAGCCAACGCAGCCATGCTTGCCATATACATACGTACAGTTACACAAGCACACTTTCATGTAACGAGCATGTACCGAATGGACACGTGTAATGGTCTGCACACTGGACTTCCAATGCAGAAGTCACCAGTTCGATCTCCCGGTGCGGCAGTTGAAACAACGGGACACGTTTCGTAAACTCCACCTCTGTCTACCCAGCAGTGCAACTGGGCACACCACAGCTAGTTGATTAGCAGGTTGCGTACGGTGGAGTCAAGTGTGGGTAATCCGACCTTTTCCAAGACGTCTGGACCGGTTCAGACGAATATCTGAACCGGTCCTGTGCCTTCCCCTAGATCGACTCAGCCTGAAATGGGTCCCTGTTGCGGTGTACAAACACGAGTACCGGGGAGACAAAGGCTGGCCACTCGCCCCCCTCGTGTGCCGTGTCAGCCTGCATAGGTGCTTGCGAACGGCATTTTCTTCCAAATTCTGCTAAAAGGCTACACGGAGGATCTTTGTCTCATCGTGTGGGTGTCCGTGTGGGTGTGTGTGGGTGCAGGCCTGCGGAGTTGCAGTTCTATACGAGTGGAGCCGCCGTGTTGATGATGATCCCTGCCTGGTTGCTCATGACGGTACAGCACTCATGTTCTCTCCACCAAGAGTGTGCGTGTGTGGCGCATGTGGGTGTATGTGGTGTGTGCAGGACATGGTGTGGTATGATGTGCGCTGTGGTGTGTAATATACGTGAAGTATTCGGTGCGTGCGTGTGCAGGACATGTTTCGAGCGGTAGAGCAGCGGTCAGAGCCCTGTGGTACGGACCCGGCGACCCGAGTTCGATTCCCGCTGACAATTTTCTGAACCGGTCCTGGGCCTCCACTAGGTCGACTTTACCTCAAATGAGTACCTGGTGTGGTGTGTAAACATCGCCACTGGGGAGATAAAGACGGCTGGGAATGGTGCTGGCCACCCAACTTTGTGTGCCGTGGCAGCCTTCGTAGGTGCTCGCTAACGGCGCTTGCCTCCACATTTGCTGAAGGCTACACAGGGGATATTTGGTGTGTGCAGGACATGGTGTGATGTATTCCATGTGTTTGTCTGCAGGACAGCGTGGAGTGTGGTATGGTGGGTGTTATGCATTAGGAACTACGTATATGTGGTGTGTGCAGGACATGGTGTGGCTAGCCGTGCCCATCACGCCAGACCTGGCTGGCCTACTCGTGACTGACGGAGCTCTCTTCCATGCACAGAGCGTGTGCGCGTTCGCTCTCATGGGATACATCTCCCCCGTCACGTTCAGGTAGGCTCAACATGGACATACCCCGCACACATGCATCACACACCGTACTGCACCAACACATACATCACACACCACACATGCCACGTAACTCACATACAACGCACACCACACACATAAAGCATACAAAACACTGCCCACACGATACACAGACATTCCCTGACCACCAACACACAATTCGCAAAAACACATCCACCCATGTCAATGCATTTGCCCATGCCCGTGTGTATTTGCATGTCCATGCACTCATTTATTTGTGTACCTAATTGTGTACCTGTGTGGATCTATGTGCCCTTGCAAATGTGTCTTTGTGTACCTGTTTTTATACGGGTACATGTGTGTCTAAGTGTATCTGTGTACTCTGTGTATCAATATATGCATGTTTCCCTGTGTATCAATATACGCGTGTTTCCGTGTACATCAATGTGTAGATGTGTGTAATCGGTGTGCCCCTGTTTAGCCATGTGTACGTATGCCTGTCGTTGATCGCGTCTCCCTGTGTTTTCCCCGTGCATCCACGCATGTTCCCGCGAGCAGCGTTGCGAGCACCACGAAGCACGCGCTTTCCATCTGGCTCAGCGTGCTCGTGTTCGGGAACCCCGTGAGCGTCGTCTCCGCTGCGGGCAGCGCCCTCGTCGTGGGTGGGGTCGCGCTCTACAGCCACGCTCGTGCTCACGGCGGGCACGGTGCCACGGCGGCCACGCACGCGACACACGGGACGCAAGGAACGCACGGCACGCCCAGCAACGCTTGCAAGCAGATTAACGTGCAGACGCAAACACACACACACGCGTTGTGATCGGGGCCAGCAGTAGGCCCTTCCATTTCCTGGCAGTGATGCCCTCCTTATGATCCCACGGTGAGCTTGGGGATCAACACTATAAGACGATGGGAAATTTTGGTCAGGCGTAGGCAGAGAGAAGGTTATGGACACCTCGCTTTTACTGGCCACGCGCTGGAGGCAAAAGCCTTTTTGCTACTGGCCATATCTACCTATAGTAGCCACGCCTCTGCCGACGACGCAGCTATTGGCTAAGCAAGGAGGGGCTCCCACAAGTCTTTAATACTTGGGTCCCTATTGTGGAACACAACAGAGTGTTTGAATGAATGGAAGTGCCTGGAAGTTTGACCATTTTCCTTCCAGTTATTGTGTCACAGTGAGACACAAGTCATTAAATCCCAGGAGTCTGATTCACTGGTGGGCTATCCATCCGTGTCATGTGTATAATAATGATACGTCAGCGAATCAAAATATCTCTTGGAGTAATTTGGAGCCACCCTTGTCTCTGATGACCCTGGGTTGTTGGTGGAAATTTAACATTTCTGTTACGCAAGTCGCGTTCTCATGGGACAACCACCACTGTTGAGTTCCTGCAGGGTTGTACGAAGTTTACTGACCACGGCAGGATGATGGGTTGACTTGACACTTTACCACACGATTTTAGCTCGGAAACCTGCTTGTGAATTGGACACACTAACTACTGTGCTGGCTGATTGATGTACATACAATAGCGATGTTTTAGTACATAATTTGAAGATACCTCTATATGGTTTGCGAGCACATGTCAAAACACCACGCCAGAAAAAGTGTGGGGTACGATTCTTAGGACCTGGCAGTGACATTTTACAGTTGGTCTTCACAACGAGTGGCAACGTCACACAATCATGAGTTTGAGAACGGGGTTCAAACAATTCACCTACATCCCTGAGATTGAAAGAAATACTGCAGCTTTAGCAGTAAAAAAAACTGAAGGTCATGGGAAAGTATATACTGTACCTGTCAACTAACATCCCCCAATGTATGTGTTTGTATGTGTGTCTTCATGACAGTAATTGTGAGTTATACATCGGTGCTAATGTGGTTTAAGAGCCTTGGTCTTGTGGAATTATATGATAACCCCCCACCCTGTAGAATCGGCACCTTTGTTGTAAATGTCAGTATTAATGTCAATGCCATTCTTATGCGCCTGTTTGTGTGTGTGTGCGTGCGTGTGTGGTGGGAAGTAGTAACATCGTGGTTCGCTCACCACACCCTCATCCTTGCAACTCGAATTTGAATCCGAGCCATAATTGACACCAGTGGCATGGGGATTTGAAAACTGTCCTTGGCTTCCTCTAGGTTGACTCGGTCTTTAACGAGTACTGTACCTGCTGTGGTGTTGGGATCATCAACATCAGCAACAAAGAGTTGCTTTTCATTTCAGGCTGTGGTGACCTAGGGGAGGGGTGGTCCATCCCGTATTCACATACCAATTCTCCACTGATGTGTGAAACAGCCAGGAATTGAATCCGAGCTGTCTGTGTGCGTGTGTGATTGCATATATGAATATGAATATATCATACATTGTAAAGATTTTACCTTGTAGTCGGGGCAAGTGCGTTTAGCTGTCACTTATTCTAAAATGTAATATATATAATCACAAAGTACTTATGCACAAGTCTCGTTAAGGTGTGAAGAGAATTAAAAAAACAAGTCTTAAGGAAATAGAATATTGTGTTATGTTAACACAACTTTGTCTAAACTGTGTGCTTGCTGCATTACAGCTACACCACTTTAACATCTCAATTAAGCATCAATCTTAATTCAGGGACTAGCTTCTTCAGAAATGCATCCACGTTTCCTGTTGTAACTTTGCGACAAACTTGTCTTTCTTAATTCTATGATTTTAGTTGTGTTCATACTTTTCTGGTGAACGTGTAATAGCTTTTTCATGTGTTACAAAGCTGAATTTTATTTGTGTGTGCAATAACTGGTAACCAGACTTAGACCAACTCCATACAAAATCTTGACTTAAAGCTTTCGTGACTGCAGGAATTCATATTCTTTGGGTCTTTCGGTAAAGTCGCGTAGATAGAGTAAAATAATCAAAATTTAATAAAGTGAATAAAAAATAATCAAAATATCACGTTTAGATCGCAACTGATGACGATCGCTTGTGTTGCTCCCTACACTTGAGACACAGACCAACAGAAAACTTGATATCCCCGGTAACAACCTGCTTCAATAACTGGTGGCTGAAACGATATTGGTTGAGTGCCTTTGGCCACAGCCATTCAAAGCCAGTCACATGCTGAACGTGAATTTTAATATCAACCTGTGCTTTGTGGGACCACGTGTTAAAACGAAAAATGCAGGAACTTGATTTGGAGAAGAAAAAAAACATACACATGCAAGTAAAGGTGTAAAAACATAATCCAATAATTTTCCAAGCTGCGTTCTTTTCAAATATCCTATTGTTTGCAATTTTTTCATTACATTGCCAACGTGGGTGTACGAATTGTAATTATTTGATAATGCCAAAACATGTTTTGCATTACAATGTTGGTTTATTACGTTACAAATGTACAAAGTGATTATTGTGTTTTTTTGTTATGGCTGATGAATCAAAAGGGCACAAAGCAGATGGGCCATCGTGCCCTATGTTAAGCAGAATTTATTCAAGCGCGCGGTGTACCATATTTTACAGATGATATGTTGTGCACAGTATCAATCTTACAGAATATAAATATGGCCAGACACCTGCAAGGTTATATGAGGCACTCCCAAATAAGCATGTTTGTGGTGATAATATAATCTCATTTGGCATCCTTGAATGAGTTGTGGAAATTACACATTCCCATGGTGGAGACCAGTCTCCTTGTAGAATGACCACTATAACTTCCCACAAAATGAAACCTCATTTTGTTGGCCCTGGAGATATGATGAACGGCTGGGTTGATTTCAAACCTGGATATATTGTGAGTGATATCCTCTGGAAATCGTGCCATGTGGCTGGATATCATGAGAAAATGGGCACAGATTTCTTTGCTGTTTCATAAATTCTGAATTGTACAAATCTAAAAAGTTTACAAGTAATGACAAGCACCCATGTAGTTTCTCGCTTTGGTTTAAGGTTCATGAAACAAAGAAACTAGGATGGTATGCGCACCTGCTTACATGGGACCCAGATTCAGCACCCACTCGCTGGATTGCACGTCCACAGATTATGGGCATCTGATGCACATACACCAGCATCACCGCCGCAACTCTTGATGCGAGACCTCGTCATTCAGACTCCCATCCCTGTGTGGTCCGTTAACCCAACCTCTAGGTTTGAAGGTTGAGGAGTGAGCCTGTAGAGATGGGCAGTCTTCACTACATGCATTGGCAGTAGTGGTTTTGTAATGTCTGTAAAACTGCGATGTTTGAGTTGAAATAAAAGCTTTTTTTTAAAAAGAATTCCCGAGTTTCCTTGAATGTTCTATGGGGTTATGCATTGTGGTGATAGAAAATACATGCGAAATTAAATTTTTTGCATCATCCATTGTCCACGTCACCATCCCACATGGTCCAACCCTGCTACCTTCCATCTCACTCCACATCAACCGATGTCATTGCTGCATCTCCACAGTGGTCAATTTTGAACACGTTCTCTTCTTAGGCTGCCATTCCATCACCAACTTCATGCATAAGCCAAATGTAAGCTATATTCACAATAAAATTCCAGGAATGTGTTGTGCTAATTAAATTAACATACGTGATATTACCTGTGCTCAGTGATACATGTGCATGGTAACTCTACGTGAGGTAAGGGAATTATTACAACTTCTTGTGATCTCTCAATATCCCATTGGGAATATCTATCTTTTACAGTGAAACCAACTCCAACAGTGCACTTAACGCTTAGAGCTGGTCTATTTAGTCTTAAGACCTGGCAATGCCCTCTTGTGGCCGATCCTGATATTTCACGTGGAGTTTGGCAAGTTGTGTGTTGTGTGGTAGAATGTGGCCACTCCCACCTTTATCAATACGTCTCATTAGCGTGAAAGAGCAGATAGACTACTCGATAGAGATCCCTCCCGTGGAGCCCCTTTCACCATAAGCTATTTGAGCAAGCAATTGAAGGGCTGTGCTTGCTTACAATTGATTAGACTGGGTGCAACAATTGCTCAGGACTATTTGATCACTTATTTCGCCAAATTAATGTCATAGCCCGTTAATAGGCCCTGATTATTTTAAATAATCAAAGTGTCTGTTCACATAAACTCACAAACCCCCACGTGTGGCCATGAGCAAGTGCCGTCAAATCCACATTTCTCTAGCCAGGACCAGTCTCTCCATTAGGCAACCTCTCTCGACTCACAAAGTGGTTCCTATTTGATCAACCCTAGGGGAATGCTTGGCTGAGCAAACCTCATATTGATTATAAATTGAAACTGATTTTGAGGTCGGCCTTCTGCTGTATCACTCAGAGTAATGAGGGGTTAGGAAGCTACTATCGAAACTGTCACTGTACTTATTGATCTTGCTGTTACTGCAACACTCTCTCTTGACCAGATGGCGACTAATCTCCTCAACAATCGTTATACGGTTTTGGAAAAACTAGACGATGGAGGATTTGGCGAGGTGTACAAATGCTGGGACCACAGGGACCACAAGGAGATGGCCTTCAAAAAGACTGACATCACATTAAGGTGAGAGAGACCAAGTAATGATGTGCTTCACAATCTTCACTGAAAAGTAGCTTCCTGTCAGAGAAACTCACGTGTGCCTACCTAGACAAGACGCAATACGTTTTCCATTTTAATGATGATGCAATTTCCAACATTCTCATGAGTTTCGATTTAAAGCTTTCGTAACTGCAGGAATTCATCTTCTTGGTTCTTTCGGTAAGTCACGTAGAAGGGAAGTAATAAAATAATAAAAATAAAACATAATAAAATAATTCTCACGACGTTTCGGTCACAACACAAGCAGCCGTCCTCAGGTGAAGAACATGTCTGTCGATAAGACAGAGTCTAAATGTACATTTAGATTTAGACATGTTCTTCACCTGAGGACGGCTGCTTGCGTTGTGGCCGAAACGTCGTGAGAATTATTTTATTATGTTTTATTTTTATTATTTTATTACTTCCCTTCTACGTTACTTTACCGAAAGAACCAAGAAGATTCTCATAAGTGCTTGTATTTCTTCACGCAGCATCAAGGAAGTGCAAGCATATCACGAGGCTGTCTTCCTCAAAGTGCTGAGACACAATAGCATCATCCGGTTCGAGGAAGACTTTGTCGTGGGAGATTACCATTATCTCGTGTTGGACTACATCAGGTAATAACACCAAGTCCATTACAACCGTGGCACTTGCAGGATGTATACAAATGTAGTAAGTATATATGGAGGCTTGACGACAGGATCGGAGGCACACTTATTTATTACACCAACACAGTTATTACAGGTCACTTGGCTACAGGGATTCTCGACAGCTAACCCCTCTAACCTATACCAATTCCTCCACTACGGGACTAGGGGAGGCTATCTGTCCCAGCTTGGTTAAGCTGGGATCCCGGCTCCCTGAGTCACCAGACCAGCTTCGTCTGGGCTCTCGGGGCCACGCCACCGGCTTGCCCTGGTCGGCCCTTATAAGGACAGCGAGCCAGGGGAGCTCTGGGGCCTACACTAGCTGGTCTTCCGTCTTCTCTGGTTAAAGCTGAGTCCCGACCTCGAGCCCTCGAGCTCATCACCTTTTATAGGACTCGCCCCCGAGGGGGGGCCCGTGGGGGATACACATGCGGACGTCGGTGCTAGCGCCACCCTTGTGTACGGCCGTAACCCCGCCCCTTGTGTTTGTTGGCCATCCGTGGCCATGCATAATCACACCTCAACATTCGTAGCCATGCGCAATTACACCTCTACATCACCCCCCCCTGTACAGCTCGCAGCCGTCCCTGGCTGCAAAAAAAATCAGAATAAAGGTGCATCCCTCACGAAAACCCCGTGTGTGTGCCTCGCGTAATTTTTAACAAGAACAAGAGAACCTTAACAAGAACAACAACAGGAAGATAGAGAGAGAGAGAGAAAAAAAATAACCCGACGCACCCCCCCCGAATAAATACCCCAAAACCAACATATATACACACACTCCGGACGCCACCCCTCCCATTGTCCGCAAGGCCCCCCAACGGCCGACCTCACAATAGTCTGCGCGTTTTGGCGCGCGTTCTCGCGGCGGGCCCGTCACAAGGGCCCGTCCTGGCACGCTCAGTGACGGTTGTTGACGGTCCGGGTGCAAGAGAGTCAGGCGTCGCTGCCGAGTGACCCCCGACCCCTCCGGGAGGGGTTGGTGGGTGTGGACCCGTCACTCCTGTTGCGCCTGGGGACGGAACAGTTGATGTCGGGTTAGGCGAGTGCAGCGACGTCGGGGAGTCGGCGGAACCCTCACACGTTTGGCCATGCGTGTGTGTGTGTGAACCACGGGGCGGCGCGATGAATGGTTTCAACCTTGAGGGGTGCACATACCACCGGCGCCTCCCCCATTTGACGCGAACACATTGCGGCCGCAAGACCTGTACGACCTCCACTGGCCCCCGCCACGGCCGTACCAATTTTGACGAGGTTGCCAGCGGCACCTGGGGACAGTGCAACCACGCCCTGTCCCCTGGTTTCCATTTGACCACCTGCACCCGCCCCAACCGAAGCCTCTCGTTCGCCTTCTGGCGGAGTTCAGAATTTTGCACGGCCGCTTCCCGCGCCTCAGACAATTGAGCGATGTTAAATTTAACGTGTTCGGACAAATTAGACTTCGCCTGGAGCGCCGAGAGCTTCAGCTGAGTCGCCACAGGGGGGTTAACTTCGCGCCCATACATTAAAAAGAAAGGGGAAAATCCGGTGGCCGCATGGGGAGCCATTCTGTAGGCCTGCAACACACCGGCTATGCGGAGGTCCCAATCCGTCTGGGATACCGACACCTGCTGGGACAGCATGGACGTGATGGTCCGATGCAGCCGTTCCACCATCCCGTCAGTTTGTGGGTGATACGGAGAGGTCCGAACCTTCTCCGTACCCAAGAGGTCGCACACCTCACGTAGGAGTTTACCAGAAAAATTCCTACCCTGGTCAGTAAGCAGCCGTTCCGGAGCACCCTTGTCGAGGACATAGCCCTGGACAAAGGCCTCCGCGATGGCTGCTGCCGACTGGTTCGCCAGGGGCCAGGCCATAGGCCATCTCGTGAAGTATTCAACCCCCGTTAGTAAATACCTATTGCCCCTGGGTGTAGCGGGAAATGGGCCAAGTATGTCCAGAGCGACGAGCTCGTTAACCCGGGAAACTTTTATGGACTGCAGCGGAGGGTTGGACCCCCTAGCAGGTGGCTTCCTCTGCGCGCATTGCGTGCATGACCCCAGGAGATCCCCCACGTCCTTTTCCATGCCCGGCCAGAAAAAATCTAGCTGGAGCGTGGCAAAGGTCTTGTGAACCCCCAAGTGCAGAAGCCGCTCATGAACAGCCCATACCACCTTACCCCTTAAAGCAGCAGGCACCACGAGCCGCTGGCGCCGGGTTTTACCATCCCAGTGCATTAAAAGTCCCTGGAACAACCCCCACGAGTCAACGTTTTCCACCCCCTGGCCAACCCCCCCGGCGCGACGGCACAGAGCGAGGAGGGAGGTGTCCTCCATTTGGAGGCGACCCCATTCCGCGACCGACAACCCCAGCAACGAATCCCTCCCTTCTTGCTCGATAGGACCCGAAACCGAAGGCGCATCGGCAGCGGCCACGAGGACCGAATCGGTGGTGACGTTCGGAGACCTACAACGCCCCGAACCCAAGAGGCACGCGCACTCCGAAGTGGGTGGCAATCGCGACAGGGCGTCAGCGTTCGTGTGGCGGAGACCCTTACGATATGTGGTGACAAAGTCATAGTCTTGGAGAATCTCCAACCATCGAGACAACTGGCCCGATGGTTGTTGAACCCGCAGGGCGTATTGTAGGGCCGCATGATCTGTACGGACGGTGAACCGCCGACCGTACAGATACGGGCGGTACTGCTGAATGAAATAAACAATCGCCAATAATTCCCGACGGGTAACGCAGTACCGCTGTTCGGCTGGAGACAGTACCCGACTACCGTAAGCCACCACATGCTCTACGCCCCCAATGAGCTGGGACAGCACGCCCCCGATGCCCGTGTTACTTGCGTCTGTATCGAGCAAGAAGGGTTGTGAAAAATCCGGGTAATTCAACGGCGGGGCCCCCACCAAAGCATTTCGGAGGGCGCGAAAAGAAGCCTCCTCCTCCGGCCCCCAATGAAACCTGACTCCCTTGGACGTCAAGGCATGCAATGGTTTCGCAATCGTAGCGAAGTCAACCACAAATCGCCGATAATACGACGCGAACCCAATGAAACTCCTGACCTCTCCCACAGAGGTGGGAGTCGGCCAGGAGCTGACGCATTCCGTTTTGGCGG